AAAGACCAGACCATGTGCGGATGTGGCAACAATTATTGCATTTACCATGTGCACTGTTACTGCCAGACACCACCCATGTTGGGATGCCTGTTCTTACTACACCCTGTATTCTGGATGGGTATGAAAAGACAAGTCTTTCCTTGATGCTGCAGCTTCTTCAGCTAGTTTCACCAAATGTCTTTGGCTGCTGATGTTTTGACCTCTCATTTGCATATTTCCAGTTACTCTGAATATGCCCTTGACCCCTTCTTAACAACAGTTTATTGCCAGAGTCTTCATTATTTCCCAACTGTCCTTATCTTTATTTTTCTTGTGAAAGATAATTTTTAAAAGCCGTTTAAAAGCTCAGCTCACTTGAAGCTGTTCAGCTCCTAGTTCCCTCCCGGCTCTGTGGTGGGTGACTTTCTTTTTCTTCCACCCTCCTCCCCTGCGCAGAACATGTTTATAAACACACACCCTCTTCTCCTTGGTTCCTTTGGCTGGCATTACATCATTCTGCCTTTTTTCCCTCCGCCCTCGTGTTTTTCCGGAAAGCTTTCCCCTGGTCCTGGTGTCTTCTTGTTCTCCATCCACTCGGGAGGGAGGTGCTAGTTTGATCCCTGCTGGCCCTTATGGGAGCACTTGGGGCACTTCCTTCCTGCTTCATCCTGTTTCCATAGTCCATCACCTCACCCAGCAGTATGGCCCCTGTCAATCATCTTCCTCCCAAGGCAACAGCTTGTACCCTGGCAAGCAGACAGTGGTAGCTGGGCCTTACTTAGCATCTATGCACTCTGGTTGCAGAATGCAGGATTTCCTTATAGTTTGGGCTTTTAAAAAGGCTTATTATTGAGCTTGAAAAGTGCCAGATTCATAGCCCTGAAGAATAAAGGCCAAGTTTGCATGTGCCTGAAAATACGCTATTATGCCCAGGCCAGTTGGACGTTGGGCCAACCTAGAGGCTGCTGTTGCTGTGAGCTCTGCTCTATTTGCCATGGAAGTGGCCATGAAGGTGTTCCCAAACCACCGCTCACTGTGTGTCTTTGAAACAGAACCAGGACTGGAAGTTCAGACCAGGACTGTGACTTCCAAGGGGCAGAATGTTTGTCAAGTTTTGAAACCAGGGCTTTGCTGATACTTTGTAGCCATGCTACCTATGTGTTTGTTTACACTCAGCCCCCTTGCCTTAATTAAAAGTTACAAGGTGCGTGGGGGAGGTGGCACCCCTGTAATCCCAGGGATCCAGGATGATACAGGGGGATCTCCAGTTCAAAGCCAGCCTCAGCAATGGCGAGACGCCAAGCAACTCAGTGAGACCCTGTCTCTAAATAAACTGCAAAATAGGGCTGGGGATGTGGCTCAGTGGTCGAGTGCCCCTGAGTTCACTCCCTGGTTCCTCCCCCCCAAAAAAGTTGCAAGGTGATTTTAAAAAATTTATCCAACTCTGCTTAAACCCCATGTTCTCATAATTTGTAACAAGGCCCCATCTTTGTACAGTGTTCTCTGTGCAATACAGCATCCTCACAAGCACAGCCAGGCCCAAGGTCTTTTTAAGAGAGAAAACATGTGATCTCCACAAGAAAACCACCAACAGGGCCCCTGAGCATGAACACTCTACAGACCCGCCCCATTATCTCCAGCCCACATTGGCCAATGTGCCTGTTTTACTCTCCCTGATGCTGGTGTGGCATGGTTGCCCGAGAAGCGCTGGAGGAGAGGCACAGGAACACACATGGCTTCATGGAGCGCTCACACACGTGTGCTCACTTGGAATGAAGGCAGGCAGGAGGTGCTGCCCTGACACGGAGCAGGGGACAGGTCAGTGCTGTCTCCGTGTCTTGGAGCAGGGAGGGAGTTTGGATCTGGTGATCCGGGAGGCCCTGACCCAAGTAGCTTTGGGAAGTCTGACTCTGCCCCAGATGCACTTTTTTTTTTGGGGGGGGGGGTGTTACCAGGGATGGCACTGAGCCACATCCCTAACCCTATTTTGAACTTTTTATTTAGAGACAGGGTCTCACTGAGTTGCTTAGTGCCTCCCTTTTGCTGAGGCTGGCTTTGAAATTGCCATCCTCCTGCCTCAGCCTCCAGAGCCACTGGGCTTATAGGTGTGTGCCGCACCAGCCCCACATTCACTCTTTATGTTCACTCCTTTACGTTAAGACGTGTGGTAATAAGACAGTGTTTCCAGAAGTTTCTTCTTAACACTTCGCTAAAAATATTACAGCCTCTGCCTGAGGTGACTGTCTCTGCTGTCCCATCAGCCTTGACAGTCTACTGCTCAAGCACTGAGTCAGATGCCACCTTCTCCTGGAGACTTTGTTCATCCTGTTAAAATGGATTTCTTCCTTCCTTCCTTCCTTCCTTCCTTTTTTCCTTCCTTCTTTCTTTCCTTTCTTCCCACCGCATCCAAGTCAGAGTGCAACCTCCTCCTCTATCAAGCCTGGACCCCCTGCTGTGCTGTGCCTGTGGGTAGATATGACCTGGGGTCAGTGCTATGAGAGTGGGGACTTTGGCTTTTCCCAAGGTCACAACTTGTGCTAACACTGCCCTGTCCAGAGTCTGTCCCTTTGTGTTTTAATGTCCCTGTCCAGACGCCTCTATGGCACTGCAGTGGACAAGCTCTTTGCCTTGTTAGTCTCCACGTCCTGATTGCTGAACAAGTGATCTGTGGCCTTGAAGAGTGACAGCAGTGGCACAGCCCAGGGATAGAAGGATGGGCATCCACACAGCCTGCCCGACACTGTCCCTACACCGTCATTCTGTCTCCGCATGCTCCCTGTCCATCTCAGTCACTGAAATCTGGCTCCTTCCCTCACTCAGGACTGCCCCACCTCCTTGCCACAGACCTTCTGAAGGCCACTGGCCCTGTACTCCAGGGGACATTGCTCAGGACTATGTTCAGTTCTTGGGAGGCCAGTGCAGGTGGTCGCACCCTCACAGGGACTCGATCCCTTCTCTGGGTGTCTGTGGCCGGCACTTCTCTGCTTCCGTCCTTTCACAGAACCTTGAGCATCCAGATCCCACGCTGCCTCAACAGCTTGAGCTCAGCCATGGCTCCAATGACCACCTCAGTTTGAATGAGCCCTGGATTTCCACCTCCAGGAAGACCCCTTTCCAGGGCTTAGACCTCATGCCCACCCACACACGAGGCAGCTGTCCATGGGCACCCCACGGACCTTTAAACCCAGCTAGACCCACCCTCCCTTTAGCTCCTCCTTATCCCAACGGATTCAGAATGGCTTTGCAGTGACTTTGCTCATTGGTTTGTCTCCACTGGGCATGTTGTTCTAAAATATAGAATCTAAAAACAGGACCACGTCACTGCACCAGAGCCTCCACACGCAGACGGAGTCCCACACCAGGTGTGCCAGGCCCAAGCCCAGGTCCTGCCAGCCTTTCACCCTTCCCCAGCCCTGGCTTTGCACACAGGGCCCTTCCTGGTCGACCTCACCTCCTGTGGTCCTTGGAGATGCGTCTTGGCTGCCTGTGCAGGGAAGCTGTCTGGGCCTCTGCAGCAGACCCCAGTGCCCCGCCTCTCTGCTCCCCATGCCACTCCCTGAATCACCCTCTGCTGGTGCCTGCCCTCCTCCTCCCTGCACTCTGAACTCCTCGGGATTCACAGATGTGCCCCTCCTGGGAGCCACCTCCTGTCACTCATCTCCCCTGAGCACACAGTGAAAGTCTCGTGCTTTATGCTGTCCCTGGTCCCCTGGAGTGTGAACAGAGCCACTCAGCTGAATTCATCACTGGTTCCTCACTGCTCCTCTGGAGTTGGCTGGTAGAGGGAGTTTTGAAAAGAAAACGTAGGCTTCTACGTTCATATGCTTTAAAAAGAAATCCTGGCATTTACCTCCCCATCAGCAGCCTGCGGGCTCCTCCATCCTTCCTTTGCATTGAATCAGTGGCAAGAGGTGAAAACTCCCCTCAGGGAAACTCCTTCCCGTGCCTTCTGTGTGCTTATTCCATCCACCAGCTCCAGTGCTGCCCCTAAAGCCCTCCCTTCACTCACCCAGTGCCCAGGCCTCCTTTGGACCTTGGGGCCTCCAGCTGCTGCTCAGTCTCTGTGGGGCTAAGGCTGGGGATTTACTCCAGATTGTTGTCCAAGGATTTCCACCCCCGTATCTTGTCTCCCTTTTTATTCTTATTGCCAGGTAGGAGCAATTGTGAATGTGTCTCTGCTATGCAATCTAACAGGTTGCCTACAAAACCTGAGTTTTGTGTCACATGATGGGGTCATGGAAGAAGTGGTGTGTTGGGGTGCCTTCCGGTCCTCCGCAGGGGCCCTGCCTGGCTGAGCACAACTCCTGCCCAGGAGCACTACTCCTGCTCTGCCCACTGAGAGCAGTTAGGCCTGAGACCCATGCCCTGCAGAGACACTTCCTACAGGGGACACCATGCGGCCTCATTCCAAGGCACAGCCGTCCTTTTCTAATATTACAAAAGGAATGTATAATATATGTTCCCCAGTTTTCAAAGATTCCCTGTGCATTTTCCTAATACAGCAGCTATTTCCATTAAATTTTATTCTTGATTCATCATTTTTAAATGCAGTCCTGTGCTTTTGAAGGCCAATAAGAGAGAAATGGGGTTGGCGGATGGTGAGAAAGATTGCTTTAGAGGAGAGGTGTAGCTGTCAATCTTGAAGTAAAATCATCTTTGTGAACTAAATGGTACCCGGATTTTATTCAAGTGCAAAGCTGGGCAATTCACTGTGATTTAAAACGATCAGTGTTACACATTGCGTGCTTCAGATGCATGGAAGAACGGGGTTTTTTCTTTTCTTTTTCTTTTTGCAATAACCGAGGAAACACATGCAAATTGAAGTTTAGTCTGAACAATTGACCACAAGTGCATCAGGCATTGTGCTGAGGACACCTGCCATCATTGGCCATCACATAGGACACAAAATTAAAATGGACTTGAGGTACTTAAAGTAGGTCAAGATAATAGAAATAAAAATAGCTCATGTTTAGTGGATTTTTCAACATTTTTTATTTGTTTTTGTTTTTCTTTTAAAGTAGCAAGAAGACACTAGGGGGAAACTGATGGAACCACGGGCAGTTCTCCTTGGATAGCCTCGAGTCTGGACCCTAGAGCAGAGGCTCTGAGAGTGAGGTCGCCGGGTCTTCTCATTCTTCATTCCCTTTCAGACACTGCTCCCCTCTATCCCCAGGCTCCAGAGTGTCTGGCCTGAGGTTCTGGGTCCACTGGGAGAGCCAAGTGTGTGATTTCCCATCTGCTCCCTACAGACACTAGTGGGAACTCGCTGATCGATGGCGACGATCCCTCCTCCATCCTTTCCATGTTATGGTGTGGATGTGAGGTGTCCTTTAAAAGCTCCTGTGTGAGGCAGAGAAAGAAGGTTCAGAGGTGAAATGATCGAGTTATCAAGGCCTTGACCTGGCCAGTGCATTAATCCCCAGTAGGGATGAACTGGGTGGTGACTGCAGGCGGGGTGTGGCTGGAGGGGGTGGGTCCCTAGGGGTGAGCCTCTGGGGTATATATTTTGTCCTTGTGGAGCAGAGCTCTCTCTCTCTGCTTCCTGGTGGGATGTCCTGAGCCGCTTCCCTCCACCCCACTTTTCTGCCTTGATGTTCTGCCTCACCTCGAGCCCCGAGGAATGGAATAAGACCTCTGAAACTGTGCGCCCCAAATAAATTCTTCCTCCTCCAATTGTTCTCATCAGGTCTTTAGGTCAAATCAAAAAATGCTGACTAAACAAATGGGGTTGGGCCTCAGGGTACAGAATGCACATCAGCCTCTGCTTGCAACCCCTGCAGGGAGGGTCTGACTCGTTGCCTGCCTTGGGCCTTAGCAGCAGGCAAAGGCTGGTAGCCTCACGGGGGTCACCAGGAGCTGGAAGCAGGGCAGCTGTTATTGGTGCTCCTCCCCACAAGTGAGAAGTCCGCTCACTCACTTCCCTGGGGATTCTGGAGGGATCTGGGCTGGCTCTGCTTGTGGTGGGCAGCTGTAGAACATCTAGAGAGGTTCCAGAAGTGCCCGTGGAGATGGCAGGCATGGGACAACACTGTCCCTCCTTCCAGGGAGAAAGTTAGCGTGACTGACCTCCTGCTTGGCCCTTGGAACGGACCAGCCTCTTTACTCCCAAACCCTTTATGGTCCTGATGGCTCTTATTGTGGTGGGCCCCACTTCTAGTCTGCCAAACTAGACCTGGACCAAAGGCAGGACCAGAGTGGCTCTGTGCCTCCCTTTCAGCAGCAAGGCTCCTGTGAAATCCTGCCACGTCCTGGTGACCCAGTTCCTGCCCTCAATATGCCCATGAACGGGGCAGGCGCTCTGCGAAGGGCCAGATCTGGGGGCCTTTATTTCTGTGCTTCTGTGTAAGTGTTCTCATGCCCGTGGAGCCACTCAGGGAGCTTCTAAATGATACCTGTGTTGGGCCCCACCCCAGGCCAATTAAATCAGGTTCTCTGGGGACGAAGCAAAGCTTGGCAACGGTGCTTTTTAAAAAGCTCCCCAGACGATTCTAACGTGCGGCCTGGGCTGGATCAATTGCCGTGACTCTGCAAGAAGAGAGTTGTGCACCAGGGTTTTCAGGGCCTTGAGGGGCCCCTCTGCGCTGGCTTGATGCCCACTTCCATGAGAGGTTCAGACAGATCAAGGATTCTCGCCGTTAAATCAAGGTTGAGAATGTTCACCTTTTAAAAGATCTTTCTTAGGTAAATCATGACTGTTTTTGAGCTTCCCGATTAAGGTTTCTCTGTGGCTGGGCTGGAACTGTGAAGAAGCACAGGTCTAGTGTGGTCCAGCCTCAGGGACTCCACACAGATATTCCCATGGTCATCCCCTCACTCTCTACACATCTTGCCACCAACTCCCTGACCAAGGTTTTGGGGACCTAGTCTCCTCCAGAATGCACATAGCTACTTCATGGTCCCAATGGCCTTAAGACCTAGGCCTCTGTAACCTTTGGAGTTTGCAAATCTGTGGCACAGTAGCCCATACCCCCTGCATACTCCCACCCCAAACAACAAACAAAAATACAAATGAATTTCTCTGCATCATTTTCACTATAGGAACTTACTGGCTTTATAGTCTATTTTCCATTGCTATAACAGAATACCTAAGGCTGGCTACTTTACTTTAAAGAAGCTTATTTAACTCACAGGTTTAGAGACTGCAAGTCCAAGATCAGGTAGCCCTGCCTTTAGGCCTCTAATGAGGTCCCCCTTGGCTATGTCACATGGCAGCTGGCATTATTAGGAGTGTATTTGAGAGGGAGAGATCACATGGCCTGACGGAAAGCCAGGGAGTGGGGAGGACTAGTCTTGCTCTTCCACCACAACCCTCTCTGAGAACTGACTGGGTCCCCGTGAGAACTGTTAATCCCTTCCTTCCAAGGCAGCGTCCCCAGTGACCCCATTATCCCCACTAGGCCCCGCTCTTAACAGTCCCACCACCTCCCAACATCGCCATGCGGGGGATCCAGTGCCAGCCCTGAACACACGGGGACACAAACCACATCAAATGATGACACTGGCTTACTTAGAATCTAGGTGGCTCAGAGCCTATGGATTTGTCTACGTTTCCAGAGCTAGAAGAGGTTAGTTCTTCATCATCCAGAGGTGGACACTGGGCCGTCCTAACAGTGCCCACTGGGACTTCTGGAATGTGCTGTTCACAGGGATTTACCCTCACCACCATCTCATGAGGTCGACACCTCGTCTCCTCAGTCTTACAGAATGGAGGAGAGAGGTTAAGTAAATGTGTGGTAAAATCCACGGAGTCTGGTGAACAACTGGGTCAGGAATGAGGAGGAGGAGGGTGCTCCGGGATGACCCAGGGATCCCCACTCAGAGACCGGGCAGAGGAGGTACCAACACTGAACTTGGAGCCCTAGGAAAGGTCACGGTCAGCCATTGCATTGTCTTGAACCTTCCTTGTTCACTCTTCCATTCATATTTCTCACATTTGACGTTTCCTACAAAATCTAATAAATCATTCATTAGCCGTTTAGCCAAGTATTGGCCAAACCAGACCCAGTCAGAGGAATAAGACTTGGGCACTGACTGCTGAAAGTGCATTATCTCCACTTCATTCTTTCCCTGGTCTTTCACATGACCATGACTCACTAGAGCCAGTCTTTAAATCAACCTTGGAAATTGAGAGAAAAATCTATGAAGCTGGGTGTGTGTGTCCTGCGTCCCCAGTGTGTTAGACATGCTGGGGCCTGGCTTCAGGGACCTGTTCCAAAACGGGTCTGTGTGGACGGATCTCCAGTTACCGTCAGTATCTTAGCCTTTGTCACATGGGGCTCCCCAGCAGAGGCCCCGGGAGACAGAACAGAATAGGACACACCAAGTCACTTTTAAAATGCAAGTCTTCAGTGGGGAGTTCCTGTCTCAGGGCCCCGAATAAAGGCCAAGTCTTCAATCTTTCATCTGAAAGGTACTTCCATGATTGGAGTAATCAGTCACCTAGCATATTCAACACTGTTTCTGTAATAGTCACTGTGCCTTATAAGTTATCGAAAAATAAAGAAAATAGAAGGAATTGATTGAAGCCAGGGCCTTGTGGATGCTAGGCAAATGCTCTACCAATGAGCTACATCTCCAGCCCTTATAAAATTTTATTTTGAGTCAGGTTCTCATTAAATTGCACAGTTGGCCTCAGACTTGCAATCTTCCTGCCTCGGTCTCCCAAGTAGCTGGGATTACAGTCGTGGGCCACCACACCCGGCAATAAATATTTTTTAATCAGGCAAGTAAAATGATGTCTAGCAAACATGTATACACAGGAAGCACATGCATCTGATGTGAGATCAGAGCTTTCCAGGAGGTCCTGAGGTGAGGTTTTAACTGGTACAAGAGGCTCCTGAGCTCTGGAAGGCATGTTTTATACTAATGTTGCCCCAGGTCCCATGGCGTCACAGTTACAGTGACAGCTGCAGCTCCATGTCCCTGCTGATGACCCACGGCATCCCGAGAGCCTCTCATCCTGCTGTCCCTGCCGTATGATCCTGGGGTCTCCGCAGGGGGAGCCCACACCTCTTGCTCACTCAGCCGCGAGCCCTGCTCCTGCACCCGGGGCACTTCTAGGGATGCTGCTGTGTATGCAGGGCTCCAGCCCAGGCCTCCTAGGTCACACCTTGGAGGGACCCAGTGGCCTCCCAGGTCCCAGCCTGGAACTTCGCTGTGTCCTGCTCAGGCCACTCCCTCCAACTCCACATGCCACCCGTGTCACCTGAGTGTCAGGCCCACAAGTGATCAGTCACCTCCACCATCTCCTCAGGTGGCCTGATAGAGCAGACCCTGCTGGCCCCTGTGTCCCCTGGCCCCAGTTGAGACTGGATGGGACTGGCCGACACCACCAATGTGTGATGCCAACGTATGGCCAAGATGGGGCTGAGCAGAGTGGTCCTATGTCCTGGGTTTGGCTCAGCCTGGCCCCACTCCACGAGGGGCCCTGTGACCACAGGACACATGCTGGGGGAGGGTGACAGCAAGTGCACATCCTCTTGGACCCCAGGAGCCAGCAATTGCTCAGAGGAGAGCTCAAAGAACTGGAGGCTGAAGGCCATTTTAAGAAGGAGAATGAGCGCCAAGGCCTGCAGCCCTCAGCCCCTGGGACCCCCTGGGAGCCCCTGGGAGCCCCTGCGAGGAGAGCTCCCCAGGAATACAGGTGGTGCCCGGGGCACTTCTGGACTCTGGCAAAAGGCATTCACATCAGCTCCTGCTGTGGCCTGAAATGACTTTTGCCCTACTCTGCTTTTGACTAGCAGCCCCTGGTCTCCCCACGCCCCCTCCGCCCAGGGCCCCTGACTCCAGCTCCAGTCCATGTCCTGTCTAACTCAGGGTCTCTGTGGACCTCCCCCTGCAGCACTCGGCCACCACCCTCAGCCCAGCCTCCAGTCAGGCAGATGTGACTTCCTGTCTCCTCATCAACCCCCTTGTCCTCAACTGCCCATCCCCCCCTCTCTCCATGGAGGCTCCAGCCTCTCACTTCTGTGCCTTCATCCTCCTGCCTGACAGAAGTCTCTGCACCCAGGAATTGCGGCCTCTCTAAGGAAGCTTCCATAGGCAAATTCCACAGGGTCTGCTGCTGCTTCTGCTGCTCTTACCACCTGTTCTCCACCCGGGACAGAGGCAGTGTCCTGCCACCTCACTTCCCAGGAGCCCAGGAGACTCAGCTGCCAGCACACCTGGCCAGCCTGGTCCATCTCCGACCTTGCCACTCACCACGGGCCTCTCCCAGCACCATCGGCTCCCTGGGGCTCTCCAGAGCGCTCGGCCTCCCAGCAGCCCCAGGTCCTCTGCATGAGCTGCTCCCTCCCTCTCCCTGGAGTTCTTGCAGAGTGTCTCCCAGGTCTAGGGTTAAGTGTTGCCCCCTCAGAAGGGCCTCCACCCTCCTGCCTAATCCGACCCCATTGTCTCATCACACTGCTGTTAGTGTGGGAGTCCGGTCCAGCTGCTATCACAAAATGCCATCGACGAGAGGATCCTGGACAGCAGGCATTTACTGCTTATAGTTCTGGAGGCTGGAAGTCCAAGATCAAAGCCCCGGAAGACCCACCACCTGGCCAAGGGCAGCTTCGGGGCTCATAGGAGGCACCTTCTCCTTGCAACCTCACAGAGTGCAAGGGGCAAAGATCTCTCTGAGGTCTCTGCAAGGACACCATTCACAAGGGCTCCACTTCCGTGAGCTAATTGCT